AAACACCACTATGTATGGAACGCAAGTGGCCAAGTAGGACTTTAAATCCAGAAAAATTCACTCAATTTAACTGGCTGCGAATGTTTCCAGAATAGTGGAAAGTAGAAGTCTCAAGTTTCCCGTTGGGCAATATGTGCTAGGTCCGTTTGGCTGGAGAACGCATACAGTAGTACCGGAAAATGGACCAACGTATGTCGGAATGGAGACTTATCTTTTGCCTGATTTCCAAGGACTGCCCATTTCGTTGGCTTTGGGAGTATTAGGAATGCCCGGGTAAGCACAAATTTTTCAATAATGCGAAAAACCGTGGTTTTGCCGAAACCCGTTGATAGAAAACGCCACTATTTTAGTGAAACTTTAAAAGGTAAGCACTGTGTTTTGAAATCTACTGAAATTTTCTGTGATACCAGAAAAGATAAATATTACTCCTACCAATTAACACTAATTTTTTAAGCTGCTAAGTACATTTTTTGCAGAAATACTGCATTATTTGGACTTTTGGAACTGTGCCAACCCAAAGCAGGCGAAACTGTAGTGGTGTCAGGGGCAGCAGGAGCTGTTGGAAGCCATGCAGGCCAAATCGCCAAAATCAAAGGTTGCAAGCTTTAAAAACTGTCCATTTCTTCTTCCCAACAAAAACTTTTATTCAGGCTGCATAGTGATTGGCATAGCAGGTTCCGACGAAAAAGGAAAATGGCTCACCGAAGAGCTGGGATTCGACTATTTTATAAACTACAAAACCCAAAACGTTGAGGAGGAATTGAGGAAAGCGGCCCCTCAAGGAGTGGACTGCTACTATGATAATGTAACCAACCTAATCAACACTTGAATTGACCAAAGAATTATGAAAATTATTTTAAAGGTCGGAGGAGAAATTACAACTACTGTACTAAATCAGATGAATGCTTTTGGACGAGTCGCCCTCAGTGGATCGATTTCCTCTTACAATTCCATCGGCCCTTTTAAAGGTAGATGTTCAAACAAACTGAATGAAATTGCTTTAACTTGAAAATGTTTTCAGTGACCACACCCAATCTCACCATTGTCCTGCAGCAACTGAAACTCGAAGGATTTATCGTTACCAGATGGAACCACCGATGGATGGAAGGAATTCAACAAAATCTGCAGTGGATCCAACAAGGAAAGCTCAAATACCGAGAGACTGTGACCGAAGGTTTCGAGAATATCTTTAAGGCATTCACTGATATGTTAGAAGGTGTTAATGTGGGCAAAGCCATTGTGAAGGTTTGAGTTAATAAAAAGTAACAAAAACTCCTGTTGTATTTGCTGGTAGGTACTAGCTCTGAAGATGAAGTTCACTAGTGCTTGCGCAACGTCAGGGAGAACACCTCAGATTAAAATATTAATGTCTTTGGGGGAACTAAGGCCCGACGAGTTTTTTCAAGTAAATTTCAATACATACAATTTTTCGAAGATTTATTAAAAAGCCGATCAAAACATAACTAAAGGTCAATCGTTGAAAAGAAACTTGATGGTGGTTTATTGAAAACGAAACGGAGAGGCAAAAAATTGATAACGCTGCATTAAAGTAGCCATGATCAAGGGTAGTCGGTTTTTCTCCAGCTTTGATATTAACGACAGAAAAAAATTAATGAAATTAGAAAATTTCAGTTTTTTCCAAATAAGTCAGCAACGAAAATTTGTATCAAAGATCTGAAAGCGCAATTTTATTAGTCTTTTAATTGCCTAACTTTTCCCATTTAACCAACCTCATCTTATTTACGCTTCTTATCTTGCATTCGTTGACTCTGTGAACTTTGCGAATTTTCTTTTTTGCCTTTTTGAAATAAAAATCATATGAAACGTGATGTAGATACAACCACAATTAAATATGCACATTTTTTTATTACTTTTACAACTTTATGGAAAATATTGCGTGTAATATCCGCGTCATAAATTAATGCACGGTTGAAATTTTCCAAATAAATCAATATAGACATGAATATTCATTCATTCACAAGTTGATTTTTATTACTTTATGATAGAACACAAACATAATTTAAAAGTAAAACCAAGTTCCTTATCTTTCACAAATATGTAACAATGTCGATTCTATTTGCAAAATGTGAAAATGATTGCATATTCCGCGTGCGAATGTTAGCAGGATGAAATCGGCAAAACGCGGTGTAGTTAATTTTTTCATCGTGACGTATAAAAGATAACAATTTTTTTTCAAAGCACACGGATATTTCCCACAAAATTCCAAGCTCTCAAGCCTTAAAAATAGGACCAAAACAAAAAGAACGCAAAGGAGGCAAAACCTATTTTTTTAATCTTTCGAGATAATTTATCACAACAGTCACAGCTACGATACGAATGAAACACAGAATAACGTTTCTAAATTGAATTGAAGTAGAAAATACCTTTAAAAATTCAGGAAAAGTGACAAACCTAGTTTTTCTTTCAACATTAGTCATAGGAATTTCTGGTAAAAAACCAGGATTATACACATAATCCGGGTTCAATGAAAATGGAGATAATCAATTCGGTCAAAAGCGCTCGGCCTTTACAATCTAATCTGTAAAATCCCATACAAATACGTAAACTCATATTTTTTTA